TTTTCTGCTGCTTGTCTCCTTTAAGGTGTTGATGTGTTACGCATGGATCGAGCAGCGCAAGTCCTTGTCAGGGGTTACAACTTGAGTAACCGGGCGATTAATGCTATTTAGCAGCGCGCTAGTATTCCATTTCAAGGCCGAAATTATTGCATTTGAAAGTTAAAAAAGCTTTACAATTCTAAAAAAATCCTAGCCGCCAAGCTATTCGTGAAGCATTTCAAAAATATCCAGAGAAGAGATCTAGAGAAGAAAATAAATATATAAAGTAACTGGAGAAAATAAAGTTCAAGCCTGTCTTGGAATATTCAAATAGTGGGACCTAATTTGTTTAATTAAGGGACTAATTTTCGAACCGACAACCAGCTGTTTTAAAGGGGCGTGTTCTTTAATAGAAAATAAATGGAGTGAGTTGGCCCTCAGTCCGGAAACTTGCCTATTTAAATGTTTTCGAAAAAAAGGCAATATTTTGATCAACTTACTGTCGATGAAGAGCAAACTTGCAGAGGTTTGTTTTCAATAAAAAAAATTTCGTATTTCTTGAGGAAAGAGTGAGGCAACAGGATCAGTTGTCAAAATTCCTTCGACACACACATGAAATAATGCCATTTTTTTCTTGTCCGTTTTTTTGAAAGCTGCATACTGGCCTTTAGTTGTAAAAGGCCTGATAATATGAAAGTTTTAACCGTTCCATATTTAAATTGGGACACCACTTGTATCAACTCACGTTGAGCGAACGTTTAATACATTCAAGGTTTTTCTTCGCAAAAATCGAACGCAAATGCTGCCAGAAAACTTTAAAATGCATCTTGTGGTTCAATGTTGTTCAAATAGTAAAAGATTCAAAGTCAAAATTTTTCATATAATGAAACTAGTTCATAGTTTTTCTTTTTATTTGTAAAATACATAAACATTTCTGGAATAAATGTAACTTTTGATTATTTTTCGGTTTTTGTCGATTTTTAGTGCCCTATTTTGCCTTTTCTGCGATTTCTAGTTCTAGTTTCCTGCCTTTCGCTATTTTGCCTTTTATTTATAGGTTTTTAGATCCTAAAAGTTCGTTCCCTGATGATTATACCCGACGTGCTTTACTGCGCCTTTAAAGCATTTTTGTGTTGTTTGATACCTGTATTACAATATTTCATTTATTTTATCAATTTAGTTAAAATCCACTTTTCCACCAGGTGGCCACCCTCCTTAAAAATATTTTCGGCAGTAAGCCTTCCTCTTCAGTTTGATACCCATATTGCAATATTTAACTTATCTTTTATCAATTAAATAAAATTAAATTAAAATTTTTAAACATGTGGCAACTTCCCCAAAAAAATTATTTCGTAGGTAAGCCTTCTTAAACCTCTTTGTCTCGATAGCCATATTGCAATATTTTCTTTATATTATCAATTTATTTAAACTGCATTTTTCAACCAGGTGGCAACTCTCTAATTAAAATATTTTCTTTTTGTTGCAGCAATGCATCTAGATGCTCTAGGAATATTTCGGCATCAAAAAGAAAATTTTGAAAAAAATGCCGCTTACGTTATTTTGAATAAACAGTAGGAATTTTGATATCCGATTTAAGCTCAGTAAATATTTTTTTGAAATTAAAAAAACATTGTTGGAAAAATTTAAAGCAGCCCCTATTTTTATTTCGATAGATTCGGACATTAATTCCAGTAGACAGTCTATTATATCTAACCAGTCGCACTCGCAGCCACAATCCAACTACATAATTAGTCGTAATTTCTAGTAAAAATTTTCACTCAAACCTAAACACATACACATGCATACATACAATGCATATGCAAGTAAGTACTTAATAAATGTTCATAAAGGGTACATCATAAATTTTCTTGCTACAAATATGTATTTCAAGCGTAAAGGATAACAACACAGCTGTATAGAAAAAGTTGGCAGAAACAAATAAATCCGCTTAAGTGAAAGCAGCAGAAGTAATGCTTATAAAAAGCTTCACAAAGAGGGGGAAAAATATAAAAAAAAGAAGTTAAAAAAATACCACACCAAGTAATGGAGAAGCACTAAAAGTCGGACGGATTAGTGGCTTTGCCGTAAATTGTTGAGAAATAAATACGCTCGACCTTTAGTCGGTCGCCAATTGTTGGTTGTTGTAAGGTCTCATAGCATAGTGTCAACGAATATAAATCATGGGAAAAGGACAAGCCGTTACGGTTTATCTTCGCCTAATACCCCTCAGTCAGAAGAGTAGCCTACACAAACAGTAAAGAAGTGTTTATTATTGTTATATGTACTTACTCGTATGTATGTATTCGCACACGGAAACCTATACGTAGCTGAGAGCGTAGACATATATTTTTCAACATTCATTTAAGTATGACTAAACAAATTGTCTGTGTGAGAAAAATGTCGTTCGCAACCAGTTGTAGAAAGTTTTTTTTTTTTCTAAATTTTACGCTAAGGCGCAGATGTCCTGTTTAACCCGACAGAAGCGTGATGTATGAGGTTATGATTCGATGCATTGTACATATAGACAGAGTGAGAACTGATTAAAGCTAATTGGGGGCTTTTGGAAAATAAGAACAATAAATCAATTTTACATACTGTCACTAAATTCGAAAACAGTTTGTGCTTTCAAGTGAGGTGAACAAAACGATGTGTCAACAGTTTGTGCGAACAAATTTTAAAGTCGACTTTAATTTTTCAGTTTTAAGCCAAATTTTTATAAACATCTACTCTGTGTAATATTTATAAGGCAACCCGTTATGGAGAATCGTTTTCTGAAAAGACACTCATACAGGAATAAAATCTTAGCTTGTTAATTGTTAGTAAATATTCGGAGTAAAATGAAGTCTTAGAGAATTTACATACATGTTAAAAATATAGTCAATAACTTAAATATTGCGACAAAAATTGTTTACACATTGATAATTCGAAAATCCGATCTAAGCACAGATAATAAAATTATTATATTAAAAACAATATTTAACGCTATGATGCTTTATGCTTGTCCTGGTTGGGGAAATTGTGTCAGAATGTATATTAAAAAACTTCAAATTTGTCAAAATAAGCTCTTGAAAATGATATTGAGGCTACTGTGGTATTTCTCAACCATAAAACTTCACAGCATCTCTAATGTGAGCCTAATAGAAGATCATGAAAATAACCGAAAGATTTCAGTTACTCTGTGGCATGTCTGATTAATGCTTTCCTATCACTTAATATTACATAAAAAGACAACTTAGAATAAGTTTATTATGGTTTTATAAATACAATTGAACATACTTGGGTGTTTAACAAATTAACATCTTACTTCACCTTAAAATAACTCAACCCACACAAACTCACCACACCACACTTGGAGTCACCACAACTGATCCTACCACATCTAATTTCACTAAACCTTAACTCATCACACCCGCTCTCACCACACCGCACCTAAGCTCACCATGCGCCAATTTGGGAACTATATCGGGATTTTAGCGATTCTCGGGACTAAATCAAGATTTTCAAGACTATTTCGGAATTCTCGGGACTTTTAAGGGATTTTCCAGCATACTGCGAGATTCCCGGGACTATTTCGTGACATGTGCGACTATTTCGGAATTTTCGTTATATTATCGATCTTGATATGGATTTATGTATTTACAGATATACTTATCGACACTTTTATCGATATATTCATCGACATTTTTATCGATACGATATGATAATCGATATTTGTATTGATATATTTATCGATATATATATATTTACTCTCGAAAAACATTTATATCTTTAAAATAAGATCATTACAACATAGATATAACCCCCATACAACTGATTGTTCAGATATGAGCAGTTACAGACACGAAAATTTGCCATCCAGAATTTTGGAGGAGCAAATATTGGTTAGCCGGTAAATCCTAATAAATTCTTAAAAATGACAAACACATGCATTGATATCGTTATCGTGGTGTAAACTGTTAAAAAAGATCTGCATATTTATCGACGTAGCTATATTCGTCAACATGGACATCGATATGATTACCAAATTTTTATCAATTAGTTTTTCGATATTATTATCGATATACTTATAAAGTACGTGCCTGAACTTGTATTATCAGGCTTGATTATCATCTACGCATTTGTCTGTATTGAAATCCTTCAATTTTTAACCGGAACATTTACAAAGTTTATTAAAAAAATTGCTCTTTAACAATTATTTTATGATTTTTATTTAATTACTCCTTAAATAACCGTTATTTCCGAATTTTGTAAATAATAGCTATTTTTGATTTTTAAATTATATGTCTTACATAACAGTTATCGAAGACTTATTTATAAAAGTCACAAATAAAAATCAGTCACTGACCTTCATTTTTTAGATCATACTTATAAAAGTCATTTGCATAAGTCGTAGTAAATTTTTGTTTAAATGTTAACGACTTTTATACGAATGATTTAAAAATAAAAGTCGGTGACTGATTTATATTGATGACTTTTAAAAGTAAAAGCCACTGTCTGATTTTTAATGATGACTTTTTTAAGTAAAAGTCTTCAATAACTGTTATCTAAGACATATAATATAAAAATCAAAAATAATTGTTATTTTCGATTTATAATATAAAAATCAAAAATAATTGTTATTTTTTTTTAATTTTGCTTAAAAATTGCAAATAAATTTTTTTTTTAAATTTGAGTCTCGGTGATAAAAGAAATCAATTGGTATCTATCACTTAGTTGTAGAACATTTCCTTCATGGTGAATTTTTCCTTGACAGTTTCAACAATCGGTCCCTGATTTTAGAACATCGTACGGTTCTTTAATTCACGTAACTTTTCTTCTTACCGATTTTTTCAGGCAGACTGTAGGTGTGTTTTTGGTTCAATTCCACTGGTACATAAACACAAGGAGTACATCGTTCAGAGTAAAATTGTACTAATTTCTTTCTTTTCGACACCTCAGCCTACAATTATGTTTACCTGGTAGACACGCCCTAAATACGTACATACATACGCAAATGAAAAAAAAAACAAAATCGCACTTACCACACCAACCGAAAAGTAGTTGTTGATGATGTTGTAGGGCACTGTGCAATCTTTTTCCGGCTGCACTTTGATTTGCTTCGGCAAACAAGTCGATGCCTGACTTTTAGCTGCTGATGCGCCGTCCATCGTTGTTGCAGAATCTGCAAATGCTGTTGGAGATAGAGGCGCTGCAACAGCCTCATCCGCCTCTTTGGCAGCGGGTGAATGCGTGGGAGAACACTCAACGGGTAAGAATGGCGTTGTAGGGGATAAAGGCGTTGTTGGCACTATAGCTGAAGTGGCCGCGGCCGTGGCTGCCGTTGCTGTGGCTGCAGCTGAACACTCAACATCGTTGCTAATGTAACTAGTAGGGTTTGTGTTAGTGTTGGCAGTGGCGCTGATGCTGATGCCACTGCTGCTGGTAGCTTCTGGGGGGGCTGATGTGCAGTGTGCAGTGCCATCTACCGGTATTGATATGCTTTTGCTGCTTGCTGGTCTTTGCAATTGTTGCTCTTGCTGCCCACTAGCTGCTGCTTGCTCTGCCGCCATCCCGCTTTGGTCTTTCTGCACGCTGTCAGCGTTGTTTGGAATGTCTGTTGGCGCATTGGTTGCATGCATTGAATTGAGCTCATCGAATGCCACAACACTATTGTTGCTTTTATCGCTGTTATTTTCATTGTTATTGGTACTGTTATTGTTATTTTTGTCGCCAACATTATCATCATCATTACCAGCAGCTGCACTAACACCATCACTTTTAGCCGTTTCCGGCATTTGTGGTACGCCAGGTGATTGTAGGTCTTCTGATTGCGATTTTTCGTGATTTTCACTCTGTCGTTCTTGCTCCTCTTGCTGCTGCTGCTGCTGCTTTTGTTGTTTAATAATCGTGCTGGTGCTGCTGCAACTGCTGCTGCTATTACTGAGTGTGGCGAGTATGCGTTTCGTTTCGAATGTCGACATTGATATGCTTTTGGTTGCGCGCCCAGTGCCACCGTTGCTATCATCGCCAGCATCAGCACCACCTCCAGCGCCGTCACAGCAGCCACCCGTCGTCGTCGTCGCCGCCTCTGTGGCATATTCAGTGGCTGTGGTAATCGACGAACTCATAGATGATGTTGACGCCATTGTGGACATGTGCTCTTGCCTGGTGCTGCATATATTCGTACAAACGCTGGTGCTGCGATGAATCTCCTCGAATTTTTCGAAAAGCGCCTTCTCGACCACAACACTTTGTGATAGCTCAATCACTTTCTGCATATTCGAGTGAAGCGTGACCTGTGTGTGTGGAAAAGCGGTAAAATATATACATATTGTACATACATATACGTGTATATGTAAACAAGGGTGTATGAAAATGTTATGCTGAATGAAGTGGATCTCAAAAACAATTTGGGGAAAATTGTGCGGGCGAGGTACAAATAAAGAAGCGCGGGTTTGTTGAATGTTGAATGATGAAATGTAAATTAAATAATTTTGAGAACTAAAAAAAAAATAACAGCAAAATAATAACCGCTTGTATGTTGTATATGACAAGACTGAGACAAAGTAGCCTGGGTATTAATGCACTACAAGCAATTGCCTGGTATTCTTCTTAAATTTACTACTAAAGCTTTGTATCCAGTTCACAAGAAAACACACAAGAAATATTTTTCATTCCTTATACCAAAAAAAGAAACTTTTGTAGGCCTGTATTTTTTCGATTATTTTGGCAGAAGTCTTAAAGTAATTAACTCCTATGGGAAAATAGTACCGATTTATTTTTTGTATAGAGTCTCATGCATATACATACATATGTACATATGAGACAGTCTTTGTCAGCGGAAGCCCTCATTCACGCCAAAATTGGTTTAGGTAAAAATACTCGGCAAGGTCTTAAAATTTTAGTAAAAATAAATGCTTTTTAATGCCGAGTGGCTTTTTTTCAAAATTCATAATGGCGGATCAAATACGACAGCTAATTAAAAACATTTCTTTGGATTCACTTTGAAATTGTTACTCCGGTGTTTTTGGTGTCGCTGATCACCAATCCGGTGTTCCTTTTCAAAATTAGCGACCCTAAAAACCCTCGAGTGAACAAGTTTCAGAAGGATTCGAGTAAGTTTTGAAAAATTATCCGTCATATTGGGTCCGTCATTTTGAAATTAAAACAAAAGTAATACCCAAAAAGCACACGAGTAAAAATTTTGAAGTGAATCCGATGATCGTTTTAATTAAATTAAATTAATTTGAATTAATTATTAAAATTTTAAGACCTTGACAGGTTTTTTTTTCTAGAAAAATTTTGGCTAGTAGGGGGCATACGTTGACAGAGAAGGCCTGATATTTACATATATCACATATGTAAGTCATCATTTTCAGATTCAGATTCTGAGGAAGACCCTTCCCTGCGTCATTTAAAAAAAAATTTGGTCTGAGATGCTATGAACTCACCGGAAAAGCGAAGTACATAGGTGGTTAGGTTAGGCTAGATTATGAGGGCGCAGTTGGATTAATAATATTAATTCAATATGCTGAAATTCTGTTCCGTGATATCTTTTAAAATTGGTAGAGGAGAAAAATAGGAACAAGAGAATAGAAACGTTTATGGTAGGATCGCGCACCTCACAATGCAGGTGTTAGCTCTATGAGCTGACTAAACCACTACCTGTCCAGGAGCAGCTCACCTGTGGACAACGAAGACCCCACATTCCCACTATTCTTCTCAAGTGAGTCATATCTTGCTAGATCATTCGCCATACAGATTCAAGGATTCATGGAGTTAAATAATATACTAACATCAGCACTTGTATGCCTACCGACGCCTAGGAAGGCTGCATGTCAATCATAATCAAGCCAGAGGCCAAAATTTCGCGTATTAATGCGTGTTTTCTTCTCTTCAGTGAATTTTATATTTTATGACACATTTTTAATTGGTTTCTGTTACCTTTAGTTTTACTCCATGTAGCGAGTATATATATATATATATACAATTCAAGAGCTCATATAATAGTTTCTATGTACTTTGTCTCATAACGCATATACACTTTCTAAGCTTACTTATGTACTCATTTAGTTGTTAAGCTTTCTCTTACAAACCTACTTTTTAACTTTCTCATTTTAAATGCACTCATACATGGCTTATTAGTTACACACACAGTTTGAGTAAACGCAATTAGAAATGAAGTAATCTTGTAGTTTGACACTTATGCACTTAAGCAAATTGCAACTGGTTCATTAGAAGCGGCAAAAAGATTATCTTAACGCAATTGCTTTTAATTGCTTTCAGTACGCAAGCCACTTCAAACTACCTACAAACATGTGTACATACATACATGCGTACACCTCTAAGCAGGCTCAAAGAAAGTTCTAAAGTTCGATTGCACAGAAACGAAGCGATAAAAAATTAGTTTAGCAACAAAAAAGTTTTGCAAGTGCAAGCTTGAGAATTAAAAATCCTTCGAATTGGTAAATCGAATTTCAGAGTTTTGATATTTTTATTCTGTTTTCGTTTTGTTTTTCTTTTTTTCTTTGCTTGGTGCGATCCAAAAAAAGTTTCCACCGGAATTACACTACAATATTTGTAATAGCATTTAAGCTCAACTTTGACGAAGTGTAAAACTATTTGTAAAAAGTTTGGGTATGTGTGTGTGTGTGTGTGTGTGCAAGGGTGAGAGGCGGTGCTTACACAATTGACCCATGCGTTTTTTTTGCTTGCAGCAATCAAATGGCTTTCGTACTAATTGGATTTTGGCAAGTGCCAACCAATGCCACTTGATATGGGCCAATGCAGTGGGAGGTGCAACAGCAAAAGTGTGCAAAAACGTGTAGGACAAAGATGATTTCAATTAAAATGTCACCGCGACATAGAAGAAACTCTGCGAGGAATGGGCATGGGAGAGATGCATAAAAATTAAGAAAAAAAAAAAAAACAAAAACAAAAAGAAATATGAAAGTGTAAGCCATGTGTATTTGCTACTGGGTAGTAGGGTGGAACAAAAGAAAAAAAAAAGAGAATTTTTGATTTCGAAATTCTAATGTTCATGTTTCGAAAATCTCTCAAAATATGTGTTTTTATACTTTTTTAAACGATTTTCTAGAAAAAGTTTGAGTATGTAGTTTTGTAGTACAACAAAGTGGGAGTTTCGGCATTTTATATATATCACCAAAAAAATAAAAAATTGGCAAAAATTAACGCCACTTTTTAGCAACTTAAAGTTTGCAGTAGAATTTAATGCGCTACAAAAGTGCATACTTCCTCTTAATAGCAATCTTTTAAAAAAATGCATAAGACATGGTTCAATCTAATCATGTTATTTAACTTTTCCGCACTATTAGAATTTCGCAATCGAAAAATTTATTATTTCGCTAAACCCTACTGGGTAGACACGACGCATGAGTGATGTTTTTCATCAACCGACATCAGCGACTAAAAATGTTTGCAATGATTTGCACTGATTTCATTGTTGTTGTGTTTCTGTTAGTCTTACGAAAGCAACATTTCTTTCCTTTTCATTTATTTACTTACCTTTGGTCGAAGGACCTCCTCCACAGGCACCGCATTCGTCACCTCGATACTCCAACGATCTAACATCACAATCGATGACCGCTTAATTTTCTCCATTAGCTTAGGGATATTTTCGCCCTCATAGCCGCCACCCCAGCGTAAACAGCGCGCCAAGTCGTTACCAGTGCCCAGCGGTATGACACCAATGGCTGGTTGTGTGGCAAGCTCAATGGAATCTAAGTTGAAAGGGGGAGAATAAATAGTGAGACAATTATTTAATTACATAAGCACTCATATCATGACGGCGGTGAGAAGGGTGTCAGCTTGAAATATGTTAGATTAAATGTAGCTTTGTTGAAACAAAAGCAAACGTTGTTTCAAAGCTTTAAAGCTCGATGCCAAAGGCGTTTCATGTTTTTTACTTAAGCGCTATAAACTGGTTTACCTTGCTTAATTAACTTACCCATCGCCTCCAGTACCCAACCGACTGTGCCGTCACCACCGCAACAAATCACTTTGAAATTTGGTAAATCCTTGAAAAGCGTTAAACCTGCAGAAGCGCAGGTGTTGAAAGAAAGGAGAGAAGTATGACAGAATAAAAGCAAATGGCTATAGAATATTCAAGAACTAGAAATAAATAAGAAAATAATTTTCTATAATCCTTATTTATTGTAAGTCAGTGATTGATCACTTTCTTTCTGTATAATAATAATAATAATAATAATTTTCTATAATAACCTAAATAAGTCGATTTTTTTTTTAGTTTAGAATAAGAATAAATAGTATTTTGATTTTCGGTAAAAAATTTCCTTAAACACCAAACTTAAATAAACTTTTTATATATCAAGCTTGATTATTAATCAAGTGCACATACATAATTGGGGGTTTAGTGTGCAAATAGGAAGAGGGCTGCCCTAAACTGTTTTAAGTGCAGCTTGGCTGTAACCACAGACACATAAACTCTTAAATACACCTTCACCTATTTTCCAACACGTAATCGATGGCCTTGAGGTCTTTTGAAATGATGAGGAATATTACTCAAGATAGGTGTGGAGATTCTTACCCTGAGTAGGGCCTGAAGCCATCAGGAAAGAGATTTTACAATGTGTCAGCAAGAGCGCAGTATTGAGGTGAAGCCAGAATTCAGTCTTAGGGAACTCAACCTTTGTAGTATCTCCTCAAGAAAATCAATAACCGAGTGTAAGAGCAAATGATAAAGTAAGGGTCCCCATAAACTCCACATCTTCTGCCTGGTTCCATTGACGCTCTCCGCGACTAACTTACTAGTACAGAAGGTGACATTGTCAAAAGCGTAGACCACAACAGCGAGTGTTTCGGACTATTTGTACATTAGGGTGCCTCAGAAAAAAACCGTTGCGGGGTTTCCACCGAAATATAGCACATTGATGTATAGCTGAGTCGCAAGTTTACGAATGTGCTACTTGAGAAGCTGGACGGACTTGAAAATACGTCTTGAAATCTCACTATTTTGAAATATTTTAGCGGTCGTCTAAAAATATAAAAGACTTTATAATTCTGATGAAAAAACAGTACCGACCAGTGATGCACCCTAATGTACATACATAGCTGAAAAAAGCGCCGGAAGCCTGAAAAGCGCAGAATGCCTAAAAGCGCCAGGTGTGAAGTTCTACTATCTTAATGCTGATATTTGTTGGTTTTAGCAACCAGATTTTACAAAACCCTTAAATAGATGCCCCGCTTCGATTTGGAGCTGTCAAAAGATCCAGTAGCATCTTCATTCGCCACAGCTTTGACAATAAAACATTTCAACTTAGAAGATGCAATACACCATGCAGAATACATTTCTAACTAGAAAAATTGGTTGAAGCTTATAAGACTGAAACCACCGGCATGTGCTAGTATTCGATGCATATATTTGGACATTTAATATTAAAATAATATAAAAAAATTCTTGAGAAAAAATGTAGAATAACTTTCCTTTTCATTCACACTCGCTATCACTTGCTTACCTTCCTTCGGTCCACCCTTGGATAGATCATAAACTTGCCTCGGATTGAGCATATATTGGAATTTCCGCAATATGCGATCACCTTGCCGGCCGCCGCTTTTCGGATTGACGAACACCAACAGCGGACAGCTACTTTCGTTGGGCGGGGTAATTTGAAAGTGTGTGGCCTGATGGATTTGATTTGATTTCTTTTATTAGTAAAAAGTTCATAATTACATATAAACAGTTTTTTTTTAAACACAATATATCGATTGCACATTAATTTGGGTTAGTGGTTGCGTTTGCGGTTGGTTGATTGGTTGTTTGGTTGGTTATTTGGTTGAATGGTGATAAGCCGATTGGATTGATGTGTTACAAGCGTGATGACAACACAGACACGTAGGCGTATGAGTGACATTTTTATGTTTTTTTTTTTTTGATTTTTTGATTGTCGTTTGGTTTTGTTGGGATAGGCGAGTCAAGAGATATATTAAAGGGAGGGAGTGGAGAAGACAAAGCAATGTTAATGAATTAGTTTTTAAATCTGTGATTTTTTCGGCGAAGACACAAAGGACGAATACATGTTTCTATATACTCAATAAACATCCATAAATAGATCAATTATAATGAATTAGTTAATTATTTTTTAATTTTACACTTAAGCTAATGACTGAATCGCTTCACATTTTCGATTGCTTTTTTCATTGATTTTAAGTTATTTGTATAGATTTTAACTAAAGTACTTCTGTACATCTTTTCCGATGATGAATACTAAAAATATAATAAATTCTTAGTTACTTAGCCAAAAATTGGTTTATAAGCTATAAAAAATTTTAAACTTTTTTCTGTAATTTCTGATAAATAGCCAGACGCCCTATTTGATGATAACTTGCAATCTAATTGAATTAGAAATCTAATTATTTCACCAGCAAGAAGTACAAAGACACACACACACACACACACATGCATACGTCCTTAATTCAACATGAAAAACTATTTACTAAAAAAAAAACGCAAAGCATAATTAACTCACTTTGCTGGCTTGATTTACTGAGCGCTGGCGATCCAAGACTGCCGGACAGATGGCCGTTGGAGGTACAATTAAATCCGCATACTCGCCGAGTGTACATTCCTTTTTCACCGAGGAGGCGCAGCGATTATGAAGCTGCAAAGAGAAATTAAGCAGAGGAAAAACAAGAAAACCGTAATTAGAAAAGGCTGAAAGAAAAAAACTGGACTTTGTGGAAAAAACTCTGAGCTTTAACTAAAACTCAGCATGTAAAAATGAAGAGCGGTGGACGTGCAGAAGCGGATGGGCCCACTGTTTCTAACGACTTAGCGAAATTAGAATAAGTGTCCAAAAACAGCTGTCGAAATGTGACACATTTCTTTATTGTGTGTATCACAAATTAACTAAGAGTAAGTTGCTTTTGTTGCTTTTTTTTTTTTTTTGGATTCCTTTGTCTCTATTGTACCTTTTTTTTCGCTGCGTTGGCGTTAAATATTGAACACGTGTCGACGAAGACGCTGGCTACGTGCGCGCAAAAATTATTCAAGCACACGTAGTATATTTAAATGAGTAACAAACAGCATTCATACATATAAAAATATGTACATACATACCTATGTATGTATAGCAATGCGATGTGGGTAGAGAGAGTAGTCATGAGCACAATGGGGTGCAGGAGAAGCGTAGGAGTCACAACGAAGGCAGGTAGTGAAAGTAGGAGTGGGCGCTTTCAAAGTAAGTACTCGCACAATAACCAGCAGCAGGGGGGAAAATAAGTATGAATTTGTAAAATTATGACCTCCTCATGACTGCCTAGTTTGCTGTGTCCTATGTTGCTTCTCACACCCACCCACCACCACCCATTTAGGTTAATGAAACTTTCGTTTATTGCTTGTTGTATTTTTGAACTCGAAAATTTACGGCTAATTAATTGGATTAGGATCTCGTTAGCATAACATTTTTAACTGTTTTATTAGTCATTTAGTTTGCTTCATTTGTGCCAGTGTATGCATGAAAATGTTTATAATTAGAATGCAAACACAAATTAAATTATTTTGTGTTTAAGTTTTGAAAGACCATTGGTATTTAATTGTAATATCTACAGTCGACTGTTAAGTATGTAATTTTTCGTAATTTTTTTATAAAAATATGGTTAATTCTACGACCAAGATCCCACAAATGCGAGCTCCAAACCTTGTTCAGAGTTAAAGAAAATTCTGCAAATTTTTATCAAAATATTACAGTTTTTAATTACACTATTTATAAAAAAACAGAGTATGCAGTTTTTTAGCCCATTAAATTTTAGTATAATAATGTGCAAGTCTCAGGTAGCTAGAACTTACTAATGATTGTCCATTTGCTCCATATAAAACAAAAAAAAAAACGAAAATATATTTATATGGTGAAAATGAGCGACACCTTCAAAAAAAAAATGTGTCAAATATCATTGCTAAGTCCTAGCTACTCCACACTTTATTATACTAAAATTGAATGGGCTAAAATTTGCATACTAAACTTTTTTCATAAGAGTGTAATTAAAAAGTGCAATATCTTAATGAAAATTCTACATAAATAATATTCTGAAACTGCTGCTAAAGCATACAATTAGGAGGCATTACCTTCTCGTCTATTCTGGAATATGAAACATCAGCAGGCACGAGAACTTTAAAGGTTACAGGCGGTATCCCCCAAAGCTCCGTGCTCGGCCCATTACTATGGAACGTCATGTACGACGGTTCCTGCGCCTCAAAGTTCCCAACGGTGCCGAAATAATCGGCTTTGCGGACGATATCGCCTTAGCCGTCTTTGCTAAATATCTTAGCGAAATATGTAAAATAACAAAAGGAACTATAGCGTCCGATAAGTCGTGGCTTAGGCAAAATGAACTACAGGTCGCGGAGCACAAAACATAGTCAGTGCTCATATTCAGCAGGTAGAAGTTGAAAAGACAACTTATCGCCTGCGCGCGCCTCGAGTATGCTGCGCGTTTAAAACCATATCAGACGAAGCAGCATAAGTAATCGCCGGAAAGTATCCCGCTGATATACTGGCAAATGAAGCAACAACTATTGCGAAGAGTAAAATGCCAGCACCCAAATCTAGCAGGTTAGATGAAGCAATGTATCAAAGCGCCGCTGAACATATCGCTGCATTCCAGATTTGAAAAGCTGGATCTGACACAATTTTTAACAGGGCACGGATGCTTTGAAGCATACCATCACCGCATACCAAACACGAAACGGATCCCATATGCGACTTCTGTGGAGCAGACACAATAGAAGAAGTCCACCCCGGTTTTTTTTGAGTGCGGGCGATTTAACAGAACCAGACGCGAACTTAACAATATAGCTGACATGAACTCCACGCCTACGTCACTCGTAGACACTATGCTACAAAGCAGCGAAAAATGGACCATAGCAAGTGACGCTATAGCAGAGGCGATGAAGAGACTAAGGACCCTCGAAAGGCTATGGCGTAGCAGCGGCGACTAAGCGGCCTTTCCCCCACGAACTAATGCTTGACGGTGGTCCCCTGGTGTGGCGAGTTCGACGAAAAAACAGGTTTGTCCTGGTTTCATAGGGCCACTTGAGCGTAGTGCACTATCACAACGCCCCTTCTCGTGTACATGTATTGCACTTGTATTGGTGTCAATTGTGAATTGATTTTTTTTCGGTATTTTAAACTCGTTTGAAATTTTAGTAATTTTCTGCACTTCGGCTTCAAAATCCCTTCTAAAACCTTTCTAATGAAATTAAATTCTTTATACTATATCACTATTATCAAAAAAGAGAAAATAACGTACAGACGAACTCATTGCCTTTCACAAAAATTCTCATTACATATGTATGTATGTATGCATGCATGTACTTGTTTGTATTTGCTAAAATGCTTCTAGTTGTTAAATAATTGCTCACGCTTAAACTTAAAATGGAATAACGGATGATAATAATATGCTATTATTATTTTAAAACTGATTTCCACTAGAAAATAAAACCGCAATTCAAGTCAATTATCTAACAAAACGATAAACACCCCTCTGGCATGGCATGCAGTTGAATTATATTTCGCGTGACAAATCCCTGCACAAAAACACAAAAAAACACATACATACATACTAAAACGCAACGAAAACATTTACTCATTACTTCAGTGTTGCAATTTTATAAATCTAACAATGCAAATTGCCAGGAAATAGGAGACAAGAGACATGCTGTGACGGCCGTATTGAGGGGGGAGTGCAATGTGACGACAAATGCATTGCACCATGCGAACGACATTGTTATTGTTGCAATATTGCATGCCAATTTAAAATTGCGAATTGCTGTCAATAAAGCTGTGGTAGCGCGCTAGTAGCAAAATGTGCAAAATGTGTCTGAAAAGTGGTAGCTGCGGTAAAAGTGTGGAATTTCTAAACATATGCAAATGCGTACACTACTACATAAATACAACATATCGCTAGCAGAAGAGTGAAAATTTGCTAAGTCTACTTTTTGTTGAAGACTTATATTTTGATACAAGAGGATAGGGAAATTCAAAAAAACATTGTTTCGAAAACTGTACACGTACTTGTTTTATTTATTCTAGTTTATATTCATTGAAAGGAAATCCGATAAGGCCAAATTAGAACGGAGTGTCTGAATATAGATCGAGTCCCTCTGATTCGTATGGAGTTTTGCTTTTCCTTGAACAGGCAAAATGCGAAATACTTGAAGAAAATTGCTATAAGAAGTTTTTTCCTCTCCTGTAAAATTTGTTAAAAGGGACTTAGCAGCTTTTCACTCTAAGCTAGCCATATGTAAAAATATATCTATGTATGTAGTATTTATATATGGAAATGAAATAAAGAAATGTAAACATAGAAGAGGTGTCACAAAATAGCAAGGAGCGAGTTAAGGCAAACAACTTCGATTGACGGGTAGAGTATGGGAAAGGGGTGTGAGAAAAGGGGGGGGGGGGCCGAAATTTCACGCCACCAAGCTGTTGCGGGTATTGAAGCTTCGTTGCGTGGTTGAGGACACGTACATAGATACCGCAGTGGACGTGACAGGTGGCAGACGCTAGCTAAGTCGACGACAGCTGCATAGTGAATAGCAGAGGAATTTTAAAAGACACTTCACTGCCATGCGCTGTGCTGTCGTAGTTTTGGTTAAGGCAGCGATTGTGAAAAGGTGGTTGCTTGTATTTCCAGACGCAATCGAATTTTCATACCTAATGCAATTTATGCATTATTTAGAGTTGAATTTATTTTTCGAATGCATGCCAACAACAACTTTGGAAGCATAGAATAATTTTATCAAATTTATACACCGCACTGATATGAAATGCAGTTTGTATAATATTTGTAGGCATTAAATGCTGAAATAAAAAGTGATTAAATCAAATTCGTTTTATGGCCCACCTGATTTTGGAGTATGCATCNATTTAAATGAAATTATCTTCAAAAAGTAAATGTCATGGACCAATCTAACGTTTCAAATAAAGAACCGATGAGATTTTGCAAATTTTATGCGTTTTTTTTTAAAAAAAAGTTATCAAGCTCTTAAAAAATCACCCGTTATTATTGACGTCTACAAGAGGGTATAAAAAACACAGCGCCGATGAAGACAGAACGAACTAGATATAAATTCAATCAACAAAAACATCAATATCTTCAAAAGAAAATGGAAAAGGGATGAACCAATTGAATCATACCACTGTGGGTTCAAGATACACTTCTCTAAAGATTTAAAAGGTACAATCTGAGTATAAATCTGGATGAAATGGGACATTGCTTCTTAGAAATGTCTTATTTTGAATGAACATGAAGTGATGGGCACCACATCAAGGGACATCGCCTCAAGGTGCCTCAATATTACGTGGATCGCAGATCTTTATCAAACTTAAGTCTAACAGATCGTGAAAAAGTATTGCTGGAGGCGTCGTCGCGTCAGGCTCGTCATCCCCGATTTTATCATCTCATTGCGCCTACAACTGCTTTATGCGGGTGCGTTCTAATAGATAAACCGCCAGCTATGTTGGTTCTTAAGCTCATATTTTATTTGTTAGCTCAATGTTGAAAATATACTCTATTTAGACTTTTCGTAGTAAACTATAGTGTATATCATAGCTATACGACACACACATATTAACAGGTGTTGTCCATTTATTTTTATTATTTGGTTTTAATTATTATTATTTTTTTATTAAAATATAATTCATTCCAAGTTTTAAACTTTGTACAAAAATTAACGAAAAAAAAAATTAGCAAAGTTTCATGAAAAGAATTGAAAGGGCTATAAAAAAGCATATATAGTGCTCACCATAACTATATGACACTCACATATTGAAAGGTTTTTAATATTAATTATTATTTATAAAGCTATACTTTATCCTTTAACAAAAACCATATAAATAAAAAAAAAATATAATTTCAAAATTGTGTAATATTAAAAAAAGTCAACTAATTTTCGTTAAAATTTCAAGCTTTTTAATTCGTATCTTAGACGTAACACATTCAGTGGACGTTGAAGTTCGAATAAGCTGGGACTTGCCGTGGATTTTTGGCAATATTTTTTTTTTTTTTGTTGACGATGCTAGACATTTTCTTCCACTCGAAGTTTGTTCGACAATTTTTTCATATGGAGAAAATTAATAGCACCTTAGACAAATTAAAAGTCAACGGTAAGTCCCAGCAACTTTAGTTTGCATTGTATGTGTGTATTTTTGGATTGGCGTGAATATTGCAATTCAATCGTATGTACCTTAATTATTCCTATGATTTTTTTTTTATCTTTGTATAACAAAATGCTTTCTGTACAACATTTGTCCTGAAAGATTAAATTATGACAAAGTAAGCTTAAATTATATTTAGTTTTTTTTATCTTGAAAACCACTTATCCTGTATGAAAGAAAACTGGTTAAATATTCATGGGAAAGCTTTGTTCGAAGAATTTCGGAATGCCTTGCAAATTAAATGGATTAAAGTTAAAAATGCAACACATATTCGAAACTATGCATACATACATATGTTTGCATGTATGTATGCTTGTGTGTGTAATTAACTATTCAAATCAATATGCGGAATACGCTTTGAGCTTGACACAGGATGTAATAGAATACACAATTACGGTAATTAACCTTTGATTGGAGTTAAACTGGGCAAGATTTACATAGTGCATATGTGTACATACATACATACATATGTATGACTAGTAAGAGCAGATGGGGCTTGTGTAATAGTCAGCCACTTAGCTTTACTTAACAGCTAAGACCCAATTTTGAATTTGTAGGTGAATACTGTTGCGATGTGTGATGTAGCAAAAAGCTTTGCTTTAGCAGCAGCAGCGCCAGAAATGCATTACCAAGGCAATAATAATGCTGCTGCTTTATGGGTGTATGTGCGTGGGTAGGTGTACGTATCGAGCCATATCCGCCAAAAAGACGTAAGCGAGGTTTTTTTTTTTTAACATTTTCTTTTTGATGCAGTAGCGCATCCAGATCCTCTAGAAGTAATTTTGCATCAAAAATAAAATTTTGAAAAAAAATCTCACTTACGTCTTTTTGGCGGTTAGGGCACGTTATTATCTAGATAGATAGACACAAGTGTTGCATGCGTGTATCAACATATGTATGCACGCTTATACTTGGGTAACTAAGTACGTGCGCGCAGTAATTGATCAGCTTTGCTGCTTATCCGAGGACTGATTTAAGGCTTCGCACTCAGCTTCAGCTTCACTTCAATGTTGCATAATGCAATATGTATTTCCTATGCTAACACTCTGCTCTAATATCTTCTGCATTCACAAAGGCAAAGGAAATTCATAATTCAACTGCACGTTCATAATTCAACTGCACGTTTCTCAGCTCCAGCTTCCGCTTCCACCTCAAACTGTTTTCAATTTCATTTCATTGTTGATTGTTGTCAACATCTAACAACTTTAACAGCAACTTCAACTACAAACATATGTACATCAACACTTACCATCATGTGACACCAACGACATGTCAGCCCGGTGATGCCGTGATATGCCTTGATGCGTTTGCGGCACTTGGAGCAGCGACCGTAACAGTTACCTTCGACCCAGTGATGTAGCAGATCGCCGCCACCTTTGGCCTTCTTCGATTTGACGTAGGTGGTGATGCAGGAGGCGGGCGCATGTTGCACGCAACGTTCATGTACCGTATATTTGCATACTGCATATTATTTGGTTGTTGTTTTTGTGTGTTGTGTTTTGTTGCATGTTAACAAAGCCATTGTTGTTGTTAACGTTTTATGTTACGCGTTCAAAAATTGTTGTTGCCATCAACATCATCAGAGTGTGGTTGTTAATTATTATTTTTTTTTTATTTTTTATTTGGAATTTTTTTTTTTTATTGTTATGTTGATTGGTCGGTTGTTCGTAATGGTTAGTAAAATGCATTGGTAAACATGACAGGTGTTCAGCCAACATTTCAGTATTGCATATCCACAGACCGTTCGCGTGTCGCATTGAATTTGGTCGCCGGTGTTAGCAGCGTTTGTAAAGAGAGAAGAAGAGAAAAATGTGTTGAAAAACATTTGTTAATTGCGATTTCATGTCAACTCGAACAGCATTGCTCTCGAATGGCTATTTGCACGTTTTTAGACTTTAGATAACTAGGCAACTATGTTCGTGCATTTTTTCAGTCGCAATCGCTTGCATTTCAGTTCTTGAAATTTATGTCGAATTTTACCAGACAGCGCTAAGTGGGCTATATTTACATATTTACCTTTTCGAAATAAGTTACAAATCTATTAAACCATCATAATATGGGTATCAAATGGAAGGTATTTAATCTATTTTATCTCTAATTTAAAAATATTTTTAATAGGGTTGCTACCTATTTTGAATAGCAAATTTATTAAATTTTTTGTTTAAAAAAAAGGTAAAATATTACTATTTACCGGTACCAAGAGAAGGTCCTTAAACAATGCTTTCCCTAAATACACAATAGTACCCCTTAAGATAATAGTGTAAGGTTGCCACTTATTTTAGATTCTACACAATGTATCTAAAACACCGAAATATGGTATTGTTGAGAACTTTGGTTAGAAAATATTTTCCAACAGGGTTGCCACGCTTCTATGTAATATAAGTTTTTATTTTGTTAATTTCATTCAACATTTTTTTTTATGTATACGCAGTACATATTCGCTCAAGATATGTACCATTAATTCAAGCGTATTTCGGAAAAGGGGTGCCATCTAAATTTTAGAATAAGGAATTTACTTAATAGATATCGAAATCCATTTTTTTCCAAAATATTTTTTCCAAGCCATCCAAATCTTGAAAACTTTAAAAATTATATGCACTCCGGGCAAAACTCGGTCGAGACCTGGTACTATATTTAAAGTTTTGACTCAAAAACTAACTGCCGGTTTCATAATAAAAAAATTCGTTTGGTATCGTTTCGTATCGGCGCCATCTACCGCTTCACCTTTCGATCTTTGTTTTTTACAGAGATTTTGTGAATATCCGGATAATTCGAATATCTGATTAAAAATCCGAATTCGGCAAATGAACGAATACTAACCGTTATACGGATAGCAAAATGAACGGTTAATAAGAGTATATTCGGATATTTAAAGGATATTCACATTTTATCCATATTAACAAATATCCGTATATCCGAATACACGGATACTCCCCGCTCTAGCGGTCGAGAAAAATCATAAGAATTATTTTTCATTATTTCTGTTGCTTGAAAAAGTACTTTGCTGTTGCGGTAGATTTTCTTGAAGAAACATATCACTTTCTAAAGGTGAAAAGGTCCACTTTTTTCAAAATCTATTTTTTTGGTGCAGAATGACAGATAATCATAAGAAATTTTGATAAAAGAAAATTTGTTTTTCATTTTTATTTGGAGCTGCATACGGCCCTTAAAAAGATTTTTTTTACCAACAAATTTTTTGGATTTCATGATTTTTCTTTTTAACCGACTTCAAAAAAAGAGGAGGATATCAATTCGTCGGATTTTTTTTATGTATGCTACCGCATAGTTCTGGTCCACGTTAACCGATTTCTATAACTATTTCTTAAAGAAAAGGTGGCACCTCAGAGGTGACCCCATACTAATTTGGTTTAGATCCGATCATTGGCATGAAGAAATTAACGGTACTCTTAAATTTTCATATAAGAATTGTAGTCGTTTTTTTGCTTAAAAATTATTTATTTTAATTAAACTTTGCTCTAAGTTTTAGTTTGTATTGTTTTAAATAGAAAAATGTATATACATATTTTTTAACTCATTTTAATCTTTAGCATATTTGATTATTTTTTTTTAATTTTCTTTAAATCTTTAGTTTTTTTCTTTAATATTTAAAAAACTAATGCTAAAAGCCAAACCGAACAACGCTAACACCTCCTTGGTAGCAAATCTTACATTAGTCTTTCGAAAGACAGAAAAGTTCTTCCAAAGTAGTTGCCAGAATTGACAATTGTATTACGAAAGACTGTGGTGAATTGAAAGACAGTCACCAGAAACGCCCAATTAGTATGCTTGTCAGCAAGAAAAGCGAACTTTTTACCCGCATGAAGGTGTTAGCACAAAATCAAGAGTATCATAATTGCAAGGGATAAGATCTAATAAGCGTAATTGAAATTAAAAATTCGTTTTCTAATAACTATTTTTATTAAAAACAATGCAAGTTATTATGCCATCACTAATGAGCTCGGCTTGTGTTCACAAGTTTGCAACAATACCAAATTAATTAGCCTAAATTTTAGTTATTCCACTTTACTTAGTTATGCAAATATCCAAAATTTCTTGAAGCAATTTGCGTGCCGAACGATTTCCGGCAAACGAAATGCACTCGGCTGTGCAAACAAATAAGGCTCATATGCAATTACATATATATGTACATATGCACGTATACACGCACGTGTCTGCTGCGTGTTTGTAAAATGTTAATTTAAATAAATATACTCGTTTCCCAAGCTTGCCATAAGCCACGCCACATTTCCAATCTAACTTTTCACTTACTGAGTTATTTGAATTTCCGGCGTTTAAAATGAACTTCATCTCGAACCGGAAATGCAAGTTGCAATATACATACACATAAATTTGCTACTTACACACACAACAGAGACCCTTCTTGCCAAGGCCAACCAACATATTCAGGCAGAGATTACAGTATGCCGGTTTGCTGAAATGTTTTAAGCGCCACACATGGATGCCATCCTCCTTCAGTGCTGTATTGTCAACGCCTGCAAATGAAAATAAATGTAAAATGCAAAACCAAATCAAAAGCAATGCAAATAAAAACAGCTGCCACACACACACACACACACACACACGCGAAATGAGTGAGAGGAAAACAAATACATAAATGTACTCGTGGAAAAGTTGCATATGAATGAGGTCGTTGGCGCGGGTGTATGTGTGCGCGCCACGCCATGCAAATATTGTCAAAGCTACGCTGTCACGAAAGCAATAAATGCCGCGTCGTGGCTGGCGGCTTCACTTGCTTCATCTTAGACATTTTTGAGAAGCACCGGAGGTCCTCCACCCAAACGCGAATTCAGACGATGACGCAATGACGACGCAATCTGGCATATAAACGCTTTGCACGCTTAGAAGCCATCACCGCTTTCTTGTGGCAAAGAAAATATGCAAAGTGAGGTATTCATTATGGTTCGTTCACATGCATGCATATAAATTGTTTTACTTTTACTTTTGTTGTTTTTGTTTTTTGTTTTGCTAGCAATTTGGTATGGCTTGTGGTTGAGTGTGACCACAGGAGCTTTTGAATTAAACGTCCTGTGGTGTTTTTGCAAAAGAGTTATTCGCAAAATGTGTGACACTCGAAGAGTGACATTAGTGGAAAAAAAAACTATTAATCCTGTGAAGTTTTCCCGCAAGTGTAGAATGTAGGGGACTGTGGCACGCAAGTTATTTTTAGATTTTGAAATCATAATGGAAGTGTAAAAATTGTCTTTTCGACTATTTTCTTTGAGTAGAGTATATTTTATTTAAGAAAAAAACCTTAGTTTTGTTATTTTAAGCAATATGTATACATATCGTCACCTGAGTGGAAGAGCGACCTATCTCGGCAGCCTTTCAACTTTTCAAGAATGCCCCACCTCAGAAGAATTTGATTGAAGAATGCTCTATCTCAGCTCTCGATTCAAAAACGCCCTACCTCAGAACATTTTCAATGTATTTTCAGCTGGGATAGGGCAATTTTGAACCGAATTCTGAGATAGGGTGTTTTTCAATAAAATTCTGAAATAGGGTGTTCTTCAATCAAATTCTCAAGTAGTGAGTTCTTGAAAAGATTTCTGAGATAGAGCGTTTTCGAACCGGCTGCCGGGATAGGTCAATCTTCCACTCAGGTGACGATATACTAGTTATATCTCATAATTATTTTTTGGGACAATGAATTAGGAAAAAAGTTTGTATGATATTTTTGGTCATAAATAACCGCTAATTTTTGTAATGTAGATGATTCTAGATTTTTTAAGAATTTCGAGACTTTTCAAGATTTTTTTCGGTACCGTTTCTTGTTGTCTTCGGCACTCATCTTCTTTGGATTACTAGGATTTTTCGATTTTTTTTTTTGACTTTTTCGGATTCTTTGTGTTTATTTGGGGTATTTGTTCGAGACTATTCTGCGCTTTTGGTGATTATTTTTTAGAATTTTCGGTATCTTATTGTCAATTTTAAACAATGTGTGCAAAAAAAAATTTCACGTCTTTAAAAAAAATATTCTAAAGACGAAGCTAAAAACATTTTCTCAGAAATACATCTTCATTGTGTCAGTTCCTCTTGAAATCCATGGAATTGACAGATAATTTAAAAAAATTGTTATTTTCCAAACTAGTACCAAAAATAGTTTTCTCTCTTTCTTTAAGAAATTTTGAAATTTGAATTTTTTTCCAGAATAAAGTTTTGAGAAAATGGCTTTTCGGATATTTTTGATATTGAGTGATTCATTGTTTACGTCTTCCGATAAGGTTTAAAGTCATGTATATATATATGTACATTAGACCGTACCAAAAAAAAAAAGTTCGCCGTACACCCCTGAGTATAAAGTATTATTCCAAGACAATTTCGAAAAAAAGTATTTTCCTTTATCGAATTTTTATCATATCTTCAGCCTTTATAGTCGGATCTTAAAGTGTGATATACCGATGTTCTCGTCTCATGAAGGAAAACTTTTTTGTTCCAAAATTCATTGACCGCAAGTACACCGTTCTAGTATTTAACCACCAGATCTCAGTATAATGAAAACGATGTCATAAGTTGCATATTTTTCCGATTAAAATGTATTTCCTCTACTATACATATACATGGAAATGTCCAGCAATTTCAATTAATTTGCGCCTGCCCATTCACCTAACTTCAACAGCTATGCAACACATCATTATGCTTTGACTTAGTGAAAAATCAGATAATTAAAAGTTTTAAACAAGTAAAACAATTCTCAAATCTACGCTTGCAAAGGCTACATGTCAGCGAAGTTTCATGCAAATTTATTGTCTCAACTTGAGTTTAATTCAGTTAAGTTTAGTTAAGTAGACATTGCACTTGTAAAAGTTTCAGTCACTTTTGCCTTTAGTCAGGCAAACAAACAAAACAAAACTTGTCATACACCGCACACACCCCCGTACAACAACACAAACATTATAATACTTACCCAGCAATACCAGCAGGGGTATTGTTGTCAAGCCGCCGCGTTGCCATTCTTCTAGGGAAACTGTACCATCGGCATCGTAGTCAATTTCCACCATCATGTCTTGCAGAATCTGCAGGGGAAGGGAAAACGAAAGTATTTGATAAAAAAAAAGAAGAAATGAATAGAAAAAGGCGTGAATGTTTGAAGGATGTCGAATTGTGTATGTATGTTGCGTATAAGCGTTTGTATGAGTATTTATTTAAGAACATTCTTGTCTGCAGCAACGTTGTACAGGGCGTATGAGTAACCTCTGGCCAAATAGGCTCAAAAGGCTATTCTAAATTAAGCGTAACAAAACTCCGCACGATGGTCTTCGATTTGGCTAACATTTTGCACACAAACAGCCTAACTTCACGCTAAAGCTGACCGAATTGGATTTACAAAAAATTTTAACTTTTTTTCTTAAAAATTATGGGCGTGGCTGTAATTACAAAAATTCAATTGGAAATGTAATAATACAGTAAACAGTTATTCTTAATTTTTAAAATTACAATCCTTTCCCAAATTCATTTTTATCAAACTACCCGTATATTCAATGAAAAGACTAAAAAATATTCTTTCCAATATCATTTCCGGGATTGAAATTTCAAGAGGATTGAAAAGTACCGTAAAAAGACGGAAGCACAAAAATTTTTATCTCAGCTGGACTTCAAATGCAATGATGTGATATTAAAATAGTTTAAAAATAAAACCCGTAATTTTTAAAATAATTTTTGAAAAAAAAAAATTTAATTTTTTTTAAGCCCATTTCTGTCAGTTTTAGTAAGAAGTTACCTACTCCTATACATGGCTGTATGTATTTTAATGTTTGGGGTAGAAGTGGCAACATTAATGCCTATTTTTTGGTATATTCGTATGTATGTATTTGCATGTGGCTTAAGTGTTGAATTCTTCGAACGTCGAGTAAGTCTAAAAAACGCAATGTCATAGCAAAGTGCTGCTGAGCTACTTCTCCATCTTCCCTTATGTATCTACTGCATTGTTGTTTTTTCGCCGCCCCCAACGTGGGTTGCTACGGCGAAGAAGAGTTAATACCCAGCAGCAAATGTATGTAACTATAAGTTAGCTTGAAGTTGTGAAGGAAGTTGATTAGAAAGGTGAAGTTTATCTGTATATTTTCTTTGAGAAAGGCTAACTATATTTCTATGGCGATGGTCGCGAAATGTAACTCACTCTTTTGGACATGAAATATCAATAAGAAAACCTATTAATTTTTTATTATTTTACTTGTTCATTTATTTATTTACTTTATTTTATTACACAACATAATTGTTTACATATTCTGAGGTAGGTGGTGCCATATTCGAACTCTGTTAGACATAAATTTAGTAATATAAAATGTCGATCTTTTTTATTTGTCCTCAATTCGAAAAAGTATTTGTGTAGTGCAGAAAAAAATTGTACTCAAAGTAAAATTTGTATGAGGATATTTAAATAGAAACATCTTTGATTACTTGCCAACTAGTTTCAAGTTAGCCTTATGTAGCTAACTACAAGTTATATATTTTATAGAAATCCCGCAAAAAAAGCTAACTACAAGTTGATAATTTTTTATCAACTAATATTGTTTTTTTTTCTGCAGGGTAGCGTTTGCCTTGCAGGGTTAACGCGCTATGCCAGCGAATTCATTTCAAAAATTTCCATTGAAATTAAATTCCAAATAATGTTTAAGCTGAAGCGCATGCTGAGGCGGCAACAAAGAAAAACCCGACCAGCAAATGCACAACTGAAGACAACTGATGGAGATCAGTATGTGGTCGATGTATGTATGTACATACATAAGTATGTAAATAAGAAAGCGGCAGTCAAGGAGTTATGTAAAGGGCAAAGAGTCTGTTGTGTGGGTAGTTAAACAGCTGGAAATGTAATTTTTAGCTACAATGCGGTGAAATAAACCGATTTTTTCCCCTTTTACATACTTCAATAGCAAAAAATAAAAATAAATTGAAGAATAAAACAAAAAAAAAAGCAATAGCAAAGTGGCATAAAACAAATGCTTTGATGTCGGTTGAAAGTTTTGCAAGATGAACACATATTTTGCTAACCATTCTTCTCTGCATTCCATTCGCGCGAAATATGTAAAACAAAGTATGGAATTCTTGTGGAAAATAAAAAGCACTTTCATGCAATAAAATAAAATTTGTAAAGCATACTTTTAAAGTAACAGAATAGAAAAACAAAAATGAATTTTAAGGCAGGGAATTCCACATCAGAATAAAAGTTCGCATATTTCTGGTTGTTATGCATAAAAAAATTTTTTTGAATGCTTTTGATCTAGAAAACGTACGAGTTGAGCAACTAGCAGAAGTTCGAAAAGAAGATGGAAGTCACGACTTTTTTTAGAGTAGGAATTGCTGCGGAATTGTGTGTGGCAAGCAGACAAACGGTATGGATTTGAATTGGTTTTGAAAATTCATGTATGAGAAATTGACTGAATATCTGCGTTTTTTTAGTATATTTAATAGTGAATCTGTTTAAAAACGCCAAAATTCAAGTAAGCTTTAAAACAGGTGGCAACCCCTTTAAAAAAAAAACAGAAAAAAATTATTCCGTATGCCAGTCAACATTCTGAGTGAAGAGGGGTCTCAAATAAAATTTCTTTGCATATTTACAGGTCAAGCTCTTTAATTAGACATTTCATTTTGGAAATGATGTAGTTAGGAAATAAAACCTTTTCAGAATCATTTCGATTGATACAGAGTATTTTTTTTTAAATTTTTAAGTCGAAAAAATTTCCTATATTTTTCATTTATAAAAAAGAAGTAATTCGCGGGTTTTTCGGGTATTCAAAGTTTTCTTGACTTGTCGAAAATTTTCTCGGAATTTTTTTCGTATCCTTCTTAGAACTTTTCCGAATTTTACCGAACTTTTCTGTAGTCTCTTCGGAACAAATCAAAATTTGTGGAATCATGCGAAATATTTCGCGAATTTTTGTTTTTTATCTCTTTCTTCTGAACTAATCAAAAATTTAAGAGATTCTTCGTAAATCTGCGGGATTCTATTTTTTATTTTTTTTTTTTTATTTTATTCAATCAGGCTCTTTCATGTTTTATTCGTAATATTTGTGAGTTTTCGGAAATATGTAATATCTTGCGGTATTTCTTTCGTAACTTCTAGGGATTTTTAACATTTATTCGGTACGTTTCGAATTATTTGCGAGGTTTTGTATGAGCTTGGCATATTTCGGAACTTTCGGAATAAAATTGAAAAGTATTATCGGATGTAAACTGAAAGTAAGTAAGAAAACGTTTATTTTTTTTCGAAAATGTAAAAACCACTAGAAAATTATTCAAGCGTTATTGATAAACTTAAAATTTTTACCTATAAATTTTAGGTTTTAAATTGATCGATCATAATGACCAGAAAAGAGAAATCTTAAAAACCGGGGTTTCCATTTTTCTATGCGAAACATAACATAGCAATTGTTATTTAACCTACCGTTAGGATCTAATGTCGATAATTGTGAAGTTATCGATGATTACATCCACGAATATAAACCTAGTCAAAGCTCCTTCAGTCTTACTGGGCAACATTTTTCATAGGTTCTCATAATTTTTTTATCAAAATAATAAAATTTATTTACTCACTTTTATTGCATTATTGTAACCTTGTAAGCAATATTTTTTATAATCCTTGTACAAAAGGCTGCTTTGCACATTCAACATTAATAAGTCGGAAAAAGGATTAATGATCCTTAACTGAAATTAAATGCATAAATTGTGTTGCCCACCCACAACCCTATATAATTACATACATACATATGACAAGAGGACTTTGGACTTTTGTTACATCGTAAAATGTTTTCTTTTTCGGAATATGTTTGTAATTTGACACAGCTGTGCCAAATGTGCTGCTTCTCAGTAATTTCAACAGCCACTTGACACTCTGCGACGATATTCAATAGTCGAATTCAAATAAAAATCATATGCTTATGCATAAAATTTAAGCTGCTAAATCAAAGCAACATTGAATTTTGCTTTCAGCACCTTGTGGCCTCTATTTCACGCCCCCCGGCGGCAAATTCCTTTTCCGCAATGAAACATGCACGCAAACAAACAAACCAAAATGAGCCTTTTTACCTACCCGCAAGCCACAACCTGCGGTCAAACTCAATAAAACTTTTCCAATTATTACTACTTTTGCCTGCCGCCGCTTCAGTGCTTACACAAGCATAAAATTTGACATGCACGCACAATCACATAGCAACACACAAACACATAAACTCAGAAGTGCACTCGGCCACATTTTCGCAGCGTTGCGTTGTCTGATTATTTCGCTAGTTACATGTTTATTAATTTACTTTATTTGATTTCCTACAAACTATTTTTACTCTTTTGAGCATTCGCTATGCATGCCAACGCTTTTATGTTGACGTGAGTGTGTGTGTGTGTGTGTGTGTGTGTGTGTGTGTGTGTGCGCTGGCCATTAACCTCGATTTTATGATAATGAACAACTTTTTGTGGTGAAATCGCTCGCGGCTACACAAAGGTTCATCACAAAGCAAATTAAACAAATATCGAGGAGGAGTGGCGTAATTTTCGAGGAGAAGCAGAAAACTAATTGAACTCGAGAGTAAATTTTAAAAATTCTGCAAGAATGCATACTACACTGGTTGGGAGGACTTGGATGAAGTGAATATTGGGGGAATTCATCGATTCAGTGGTGCTAGGTTAAATTAATTTGGTCATCGCTATACAATTAAAGATTGAACACAAACAATTTTTTTATAAAACAGTTTACATAAAGAAACGTTACGGCATTATATTATCCTCAGTACACTTTTTGGAATTTGGAAAAATCATTGGGTTCAGTTTTCGCAACGAAATCTCTGAAGCAGCTGATTGATGCTCTCGGGAAGTTTAGGCATTACATCAACGGCATCCAAGGCATCCGAGGCACTGGGTAAGCCAGACAGATACAAAACAGTAACTTCACGACGAAACATCCGATAACGGGCTATGATAGATTATGAGATGGAACGATTAGCCCTAGTAGTAATTGAAATAGAGAGGCTCCACTTTGTATCTTTATTTGACACTACAACCGTTTGTTGAATTGGGCTGAGACCGAAAAAACTTCGCCAATTATTCATCCCGGTTGCAGCCAAGTCCTTCTGCACGTGATCCTTCCGTTTTGTTTGCGGACGCCCTTTCTTTCGTCTTGGCTATCTTGGCCATATCATACTCAAATGAATGGACTGAAATGCTGGTGGTGGTAGGGGCAGAGGGCTTAGCCTCACTCAGTGTTTTTAATTGGGGCTAGTTGGGATTCGGCTAAAATCACACAGGTGAAAACAGCATCTAAACAAAATGATGAGTACAGTTTTTTTTTGATAAATTTGTCGATATACTTAACTCGGGTCGTGAATGATGTCCTACAAACGAAAATTGACCACCCACCCCACACTTCGGATTTGACTCCCAAAGGCTTTTTAATTTTTTCCAAAATCAAAAAAAAAAAGTTAGAAGAGAAATGTAAGACATGCTTTGTATCGAGGCATCAAGGCATTGAATTGTGTTTGTGAAACTTATTTTTCTCCTGGCAGAATATAAATAACCATACTCTTCATTCATTACTTGGGTTAAGTACTTTACGTCGCGAATTTATTGTACAGATGTATGTTCTAGAGCAATTGACAAATTATATTTTCTTTATTAGTTTAAAATAAATTTTTTTTTACAAAAATATAGATTATACTTCACAATGAAAACCATTATTATAAATAAAGATTTTGAAATTTTGATAAACATTTGTTGAAATTTGTCGAATTTTAAAAAATAGTGTAACTTTGGGGGGGGGGGGCTCGACCCTATTAAGCTGGCCTTTCAGGGTACTATTTTGTATATATATATAAGGAAAATTTGAAAGTTAGGGGGGGGGGGAGGCTCGAGCACCCCTCTGCCCCTACCTGGCTACGCCCATGGCTATTATTATTACTTTTTATTATTTTTGCATAGTACCGAATACCAACAGCGCAACTTAAAAGTCAATGTTGAACGCAAAATTACCTTTTAAAACGGAAGATGTTTCAAACTCTCTCGAGCACCCAACATGTTCTTTTCCTCGAGAGGAATTTCATGATTGCCTTAAACCTTTAGCACTTCGCTTAATCGCTTAAGCTACACTTAAAATAATAAAGATAAACACTTAAGAGCATCTAAAACTGTTGTTGAATATGAAATGCCACTTAAAAATATCAAATTCTACCCTCGAATGTGGTTTGCTGAGCGGGAGGTGGAGCTATTTCCAAAAGCTTCAGCATCTTAGCAATGTCAACTGCAAAAGCTGTACCTACTAAAATTAAATTCAACTCAAGTAAATGCGTACAATTGTATACAATAGCACTTACTATTTTTAGTAACAACAAATGAGCTGCCCCGTGTCTTAACAAACCATTAGGAGAGTACGTTCGTGGAGTAACAAAGAGCTCAATAAAAGCACGATTTGCTCACTTCATCGACATCATTAAAATTAATACGATATTCAAGAATTTAATTACATTTATTGCCTTCCGCTGCTTGCTTGCTGTGTTTCACTTAAACGCTACGAAATTACCAAGGAAATTGTAAATGCTTACAAAATTAAATTTACAGTGGAAAATTTTACGATTTCGCTTTATGCCCACGGCTGCAGAGTCAAAAGCGTTAACGTGAGGGTGAAGTGACAAAATGAGCGTAATGAATACAATGACTTGATGATGATGACAATGAACAGCTTAATACATAGCAACCAGCTACGATCAGGGTTGCCGCGAGCTTGCAAAAAAAAAAATATGTATCAATTGCCAAGCGAAAAAAGTATCAAAACTTATTAAAAGTAAATACAACAAGAGTTTTAGAATTTTTATTTGAAAAATTAAAAATTAATGAAATTATACCCATATTTGGAGGAATTTTATTAAAGTAATTTTTAGGCCAAAAACAAAACCGACTTCATTTCTCATATAAAAACTTAGGAGTACCGTCAATAGAGTACAGTCAATGATTGGTTCTAAAGCAGATTAGTATGGGATCACCTCTGAGACCTTTCCGATGCAAAAAGAATTATCGAAATCGGTTGACGTGGTCCAAAGTTATGCGCTAACATACAAACATACATAAAAAAAAATATTCCAACCAACTGATAACCTTCTCCTTTTTTGGAGGTCGATTAAAAAACGTTTCAGTTGTGTGGTGTTACTGGCGAATTTAGACTTTCGCCGCGGTCCTTATGAATGTCAAAACGATGTGTTTGTTGTAGACAAGGCGAATTCATATTACAACAAACACGTAATTTTGACATTCAGAAGGACCGCGGCGAAAATCTAAATTCGCCAGTAACAGCACCTCGTATAAATTCGTCGTGGTTGTGAGGTAAATCCAATATTTCTTAAGCGAATTCAAAAATATTTTTATAAGTATCAAAATTTGGCATTTGTGAATAAAATAGTATCAAAGTTTCAAATAACAAAATTTTAAAAGAAAAGTATCAAACAATGATACAATTTTATCAAAACAGCAACGCTGGCTACAATTCGCATAAACAAAAAAAATACAAAATTTGGCATTTGTGAATAAAATAGTATCAAAGTATCAAATAACAAAATTTTAAAAGAAAAGTATCAAAAATGATACAATTGTATCAAAACGGCAACGCTGCCTACAATGCGCATAAACAAAAAAAAAAAAACAAAGAGGAAAAAGAAAAGCGTGTAAAGACAAATACACGCAGCTGCCAAGCAACAAAGAAAATGAAGTAGACGTTGTCACCGTAGTACACTTTACACGCACCTACTCTGGCGAGAAGCAGAGCAGCACTATGGCATCCTTTATGAGGGGATTTCTGCGTTTTTTTTTTGGTAAGCAGCATACTCTTGTATTTTGTTTCATTGTACATATATGCGTATTTACAGTTAAATCAACTTTTACTTACCGGTCGCAATTCGCTAACATCCCAGCCAAGATATTCGGCAACAGCCATCATTTGATTAACAATCGCATCCATTTCGGCGGTATCCAGGACGCCATTGCCATCGGTATCGTACAATCGAAACATGACTACGTACATAGATGAAAAAGAGAGGCAGAATGAGCAACGTGGTAGCGTAGAAGAAAAATCATATAATTTAAATAATGCTGCACTTCTACTGTAGTTGGAGCTAACGAAGCCATTCAAAAGCCGTTATTATCAACATTTTAGTAGCAAGCAAAGTGGAAGATTGCGCTCGCTTAAATCTGAATGAGATTTACTGCACAGCGATATTATTTAAGAATATAAAACAACGCAATCTGGCGCTGACGCCTTGGTTGCTACTTTTATTTCTTTTTGCGAAAGTAAAACCAAATGAACGAATGTAAGTAGTTGGCTACATTAAACTACTAGCAGTATTTTAAACAAAATTTATGCTTCAAAAATGTCAGCTTACTCCTTGAAATAAGTCACTATTTGCATTTAATACATATGTACGTAAATACCTCCCACATGCCACTTAGCTTATTTAGCTTGCTTGCAGGCATTTAGTGGCAAGTTTATGAGCTTGACTCAGTGTAATTTATCGTTTCTGCTTAGTTTAGTTGTTGTTGTTAGATGTATACTTTTTTTGTTTGTGTTTAGTTCATAGTGTGCAAGAAATTGTTGGACTTGCTGCTTATTTGTCTATGAACTTTAGAACTCGCTTTTATTTTAGTTTCAGTTAATAAACGCAGGAGTTGCAGCTATAAGCTTGGTGTGTAGCGAAGTTGAAGTCTCTCTTCCTGTAGAAAGTTACCCTTACTTGTAAAAGTTATACACTCATTTTATACAAGAAAAATGCGAAAGGGAAAGTATTAAAATTATTATTACTAGAAAAAAGGACTTTGAGGGTCCTGAGGTGAGAAAAATCACGATCTGGGAATTTCGCATTATATCTTTCACCTTATGTGGCACATAATTATGGACAATGTTGAACTAAAATTAGAAGCCTTTGTAGGTTTTCGAAAGCACAACTCCACCCCTAAACTATAGATATGGAATGGCGAAATTTATAGGCTTTTTAACGAGATTGACATAGTCAAAAGTTTAGAAATGTGATGATCGCTAGGTTGTACATGACGGAAGCAAGAAGATTATGCTCTGGCGAAATCTTCAACTTAGCATTCATGAGAGAGGACAATGAAATCAAGGTCTCCGTTGAACAAGCTCTAGGCACCAACTCCAAGGGATCCGGCTGCACTTTGTACGAACAACTGTTGGAATTTCATAAATTAGCGAGGCATTAGGGGAATCCCAATCTTAATCCGAATATGAATCTTAAACTCAACACCAATCTCAACTTTGATCTCAATTTTAATCTTAACCTTAAACCTAAACTTTATCTTAATCTTAAACTTAATCCTAATCTTGAGCTTAATCCTTAACCCTTAACCTTTAATCTTTATTCTTAATTTTAATCGTAATCCTTATTTCTTTACTCTTAATCCCTTACCTTAATCTCAACCTTAATATTAATCATAACCTTAATCTTAATTCAATCTTATTGCCCTAAACTTAATCTAAATCTTAATCCTTAATCTTGCTATTAATCGTAATCTTAATTCTTAAATCTTAACCCTTAATTCTTAATTTTAATCTCAACCTAGATCTTAATTTTGATATTAGTCTTAAACTTAATATTAGGTTTAATCTAAATCTCAAACTTAATCCTTAACCCTTAATCTTAATGTTAACCTTAATCTTATTCTTAATTCAAATCCGAATTTTAATCTTTATTTTAATCTTAACCTTATTCTTTATCCTAATCGAAATCTGTATCTCAATCGAAATCTTAGCCTCAATCTTAATGTAAGATTGAGATTTTAATATAAATCTTAGTCTTAGTCTTAGTATTTAGTCTTGATCTTAAACTCAATCTTAATATTTATCTCAATCTCAATCTCAATCGCAATCCCAATTTCAATCTAAGCCACAACCTCAGTTTTAATCTCAATCTAAATGTTAATCTCATCTATATTTTTGGTCTTAATATTAATCTCATTCTTAATCCAAATGTGCCCAACCACCCCCGCCATTCGCTTCCTTCTTCCGTCGGTTCTTCGCATTGCAGCCTAAAGTTAGAGCCGAACAATTGTGTTGCTCTTTCGTTACATCGATGTTTGCATTTACTCCCAACCGACCTCAAAAAAGTTTCACCTCAAAACGAGTCTTATTCCTGACCGCGTACGTTTATGTGTACTCTGTAAGTTTGAGACACCAATAATAGATTCGCCTTTCCTTTGGGGTTAGACTAAAAGTTTTCTACATACCCTCAGAAATCGGGGCAGTCAGATATTAGATTCTCCTAACTCTTGGTTGCTAAGTGGGCGTGCCCATGTAAGAGGCGGTTCAAGCTGGAGACCGACTATGATCAAGTTACTAGAACCAAACTTCGGTACTTCACTATAGACCATACTTTGCCGCCCCAGGCTAGCAAGGACAACAATCCTAGAATCACATATCTGCTGCAGCCAGAGAAAGAAGACAAAAAATGAGCTAAACCAAACCAATATTTGAAAGTCAGAAGCGGCTACAAGAGACAAGCTCAATTCTTAAAAACTTATGAAGAGGAATCTATTATACCCTACCAAGGTGGACTAAGATTTCAGTAAGAAACTCGGGTGTCCCCAGGCAGAGTTGGAGGCTAACAAAGCGGCGCCTAACTGCTCGACAGCGAACAATTGATCTTTCATAGAACTGGCCGATTGTCAAAGCCGTTGGCTATGTCAACACAAAGTTCTTGATTTTTCTAATGTCTGCTATCTACAGTCTTGATGCAGGGTGGAGTATCGCAATTTTTCAGCGGGTTGGCAGAGGTAAAGAGGGTGCAACCATATGACTTTCTCGCCTTTTATCTTAGTTTCCTCCTTCATGATTGGCGCTGTAACCGTCTAAACTCTTAAAGCCCAGTTCTATAAAGTACGTCAGTCGTTTCTCATATTTTATTAGGAACAGTAAGTGTTAATACATTGCCACTCTGGAATAACCTCCCCTTAGAGGAGTGAGAATTTGCCCATACTCACAGAGGGAATTGAAAATAGAGGAGATATGTGTCCGGGTGGGAGTATGATCGGCTTACACCGAATTGGATACCTAACTTAAATTTTGTTTTCTATTAACTACATATGTACATTAACTAGAAGCTATACATTTCTTACTCTTCTTCACCCATTTATAGTTGTTTCCACTTTGCTGAGTTTCTGTATTAATTTAAACTTTTGTGTAGTTATTTGTGCGCTTTATTTCATTTCTGTGCGCTCATAACTAAAGATTCTCAACTATGTACTTACATTCGAGCTTATCTTCCGGTCGTCCAGCTTCCAGCAATGATAAATAGCAGACAACATCTTTGAGCGGCACTTTCAGCGTCAACGGATCCAAGTGTGAAAGTTTGCGTGCAAGAAGTTTGATATCAGCTGCAAAAACAAAAAGAAGCAAATATTAAAAAAAAAATGCTAGTAATTAAAGCAAAAGTACACTAAAAATAAAGCAGTAAAACAGCTGAGTAATGAAGGCTTGAAATTTGAAACCAGCAGCATATTTCTTAGCCAATGCATGCAAGCAGAGGCACAACATCCATCTTAGATATTTACGCACTCGCAAATTTCAAAGTCATTTAGCTGCGAACGAGTTATTATCGTGGCCTAGCAGCAGAAATGTTCCGCTGTCGCTATTCTGTTTCATTTTTTTGCTCTTCTCCATCCAACCATTTAAGTAAATTGATACAATACTAATTTCCGACATTCACTGAACTCATTCCACTGACAAGTTGCAAGAACCTCTTCAATCCACCTCCAACACTCAGCATCATTTACACGCTCTCACTGGCTTGGATATTATTTCCGTCATTTCATTGTCGTTAAGCTTTCTTACTAATTTACTGCTATACATAAATACATACATATTAGGGTGGTGCGTAAAAATATCAACATATATATTTTGCATGGGGTATCCCTTTAAATTGTTCTACGTTTAAAATAAAAACAACCACGAAAATTTCAAAATTTAAAAAATTTTGAAAAACAAAATTTTTTTTTTTAATCGCAAAAATTCGACAGAATTTTGACTTTCACCAGCTATAACTCAGAGTTTTTGAATTTACATACCCCTTAACTCAAAATTGGTAAATTTACATATTCATGCTTCTGGCATAAGAGGGACGATATACATATGTATGCATATATGTGCCAAATTTATCAGAATTGAAGCCGCATTTTTTTCGAATTTTTGAGATAAAAAAAAACTCAAATTTTTTCAAACACTGCTAACGACCCCAAAAACTTGCTAAAATTTTTAAATTTTCTTGGTTATATGCAAGGCGAATTAATATAAGGTGATAGCAGGAGTACAAAAACAAAAATTTACATGTATTTTGTTTTTGCTTTGGTGGCATAAACTGTCAAAATCTGTAAGAGTGTGTGTAGAAATTCAAACAAAATGCTTCAATTTGATATCAGAAGCCGTGCGGCGAAACACATACACAGAATCAGCTGAGCTAGTAACACCACCTTATATAAATTCGCCTTGGTTATGTTTATACAAAATTTAGATGCTGATATTTTAAACCAGTGTCCGCCAAAAAGAGAAGTCTTAAAATGAGAATGTATTAGTTATGAAATAAAAAATGAGAATAAAATTTGTTGCTCTGCTACTCTTTCTGTTGACGTTCGGATTGTGTACGTGTAAGAAGCCGATTGTGTACATGTGAAAGGCCGAATATAGTTCGTTTCCCAGGAAAGTGTTTGGCGGTCACTGTTTTAAACACCACCCTATTATGTATGTACACATATTCCATTGAACACAATGCTGGTGGTTTGCTTCGAATTGTTATTCATCATAGTCCATATTTAATTTAATTTATCAACTTTTAAATGCCCATTGAAACTTTGTCGATTCTAAAAATTTGCTGTGCGTCACTAAATAGCCAAAGTATACAAGTATAATTATTACGGTTTAAAAAATTTAAAAATAAACATTATTTGCATTCTCAATTGATTTTACCTTGACAATTTTCAATGAATGTAGTATTACTTTAATATACTTATCTTGCAGTTTGCAGGAAAGTTAAAACCTTTACACGATTAGACATTTGCCCAAAATTTGGGGCATATCATATCCCAAATATGTGAAGGCGCCAATATTTTTTTAACCCAATCACTACAGAAAATTTGTAAAAAAATATCAGTGACTGTATTTTGTCCCAATAGCCCAATGGAAAAAAGATGTACAAATGTGCCAACCGTGTGACACGGCCTTTAGTGAATTCCTTTGCCAATAAATGTTTCTAATTTTTACAGAATACTCGTACCTATCTCATTTTCATGTAGCTTAGAAATGGTTTGTTTGTGAGCTTATCCTACTACAAAACCCACAGCATAATGGGTCCACAGAAGAATGGCCTTATGACTGAATTAGAGCTATTCAGTTGCGACGACTTCCGAAAAGAGAAATCATTGCCGATTCTGCTTCTTTCCTTCGTGTTTCTGCACTTGGTTCTTACATTGTGCATGTGTGCGCATTTGCTCAAAGGGTATTTTAAGTTGGAGACGTCCAAACCGGCGCCCAGTGGAAAATTTTTGCCAGATTCTGCTCAAAAAATTTGAAGCAGTCAACTTATAACCAATCACTATAATTTTTGTTTTTATACCTGGGATGGATTTCAGAAAATATTGTCTGAGCCTTAATTAAAAAAAAAATATATTTCTAATCGGACACTTTGAATTTTGCGATTCTATCATCAGAATCGTATGCGGCGACATCAAAATTATTTGTACAATATTAAAGATCTGTCACCAAAAAAAATTAAAAAAAATTTTACGATTTTTGAAGAAATAGCAATATTTTTTTTATTCGCGCTTGGGCAGCGATTTATAGAATTTTTTTTAATGCTCAATTAAATTTTTTTTTTTACAGTTTCGGTAAGCTCGATAATATTGCATTTTTGTGTATTCTGATTAAATTTGTATTTGAATGAAGAGCATAGGTCACTTAAATCAAAATTAAGAACAAATTAAAATTGATTGGTGAAACCAAAAGTTGAAAAATTAAAATAATTTCCACTTAATTGAATCAGGTGAAACGCAGCCTTAGACTGTGTTTTTTTTTAAATCCATTCCAAGTACTCAATTCGGTAAAAGATTTACTCTTCCAGCGATTTATGATCAAAATTAGTAGAAAATTTCCCGCTATGCAGCGCCACCGAATCAAAAACCTTTGAAAGGTCAGGTGTGATGAGAGATTTGCTATATTAGCGCTTTTGGGTATGCACCTACAGTTGCTCGACTATACCAAAGCTCTACTCTTGCGTCGGCATGCGCGACTAGCTCTGTGACTGAACTTTTTCTTTGCCTTGTATTTGAATAACTGTTGCCTTCGCCATGCGCCGAATTATCACTGTTGTTGTTAAATGCCTAACCAGATCGCTCACAACGTACAGAGCCTAAACAAGACCTCGCGAAAAAAGTTTCTTCTCAAACATGTGCTTCAAATTTTCTGTTATTATTTTGAGAGTTTTCGCAATTAAATATTCCTCCCTTACTTTTGTAATTGCCTGGTTTGCTTTTGTTCAAATGGTGAATTCCTTTTTAGTTTCCTTTCCGTAGAGAACTAAGAAATATTAAATTCGCTTCACGATTTTCTCTTCTTGTTAAAAACTAGACAAAGGCATAGGTAACGCTTTGATCTTGATACCATTATATTTTCCAGCAGTAGCCCGGCAAGTATATTTTGACACTTCATAAAAAACTCATTTGTCGTAGCTTTAGAGCAGCTAGCATTGAAGATTTTCTAGGCGTCACAAAGCTTGCGGCTGCTGCTTCGATTTCTATTTGCGCTTCACTTGGTTGCCACAGAATTGCCATGACGCGCCTACTCGTACAACATAAAGCAAACAAAATCATTAAGATTTCATCCACAAATTTAAAAACATACATATAAACATATGCCAGATACAGTAAAATAACATTGAACCATATGCTTGCGAAAACTCGAAGATATCCTTAGAATTGTGAATGTGCTGGCATTCTTGTTAGGCTATCACTCGCTGCTATAAAGGCGCAGCTAAGAAGGTATGTGTGAAACGTTAGATATTTGTATATAGAAGGCCTTGTTGTTTTTAAAAATTTTCTATGTGTGTACACGATTGAATTTGTTTTATAGGCATCCCAACGAGATGTATCGTCCGTGTCTGCTTACTCACAGTTGCGGTTTGTGAAACTGAAGTGATGCCTACGAATGTATGTACATATCTAGGACCATGCACCGCCATACGTATGTTTGTATGTAGGTATACATACAACATACTTGCAAAGGCATCACGGCCGCTTGCTTTTTACCAAACTACTGCTGCTTGTCACACGCCAGTTCCACTGAGACTTGATGCTGAAGTAATAATATTCATTTCCGCCTGAGCGAATCGACGACTAGGCGTATGAGTAACGCGCGCATTTTTCCCAAAAAACATACATATACACATATGTATGCCTGCTGCAGAGCGATACTCATGAATTTTGATGCGAATATTTAAGCATTTTTAAAATTTTCATTTGTTCTTCCATTACTGGATTTTTTTTTTTTGGTACTAGAAAACGGGCTATGCGTTAGAGACTGCCTTCGCCATCCGTGCGTGAGCCACTCACTGCGGGTTTTTTCAATATTTTCAACTCATCTACATACGTTGCTCCTTCATGTGTGAAAATATCGAATTTAAGTGTTTTTGTTTTGCTTGTTGAAACTATATTTTTGCTGATGATTTTTGTCAAGTATTAGCAAATAATTTTATTTGCATAGTAAATGCAGGCGGTGAGAAATAGCAGACAAACTAAAGTCATGTCGGCCCCACTCATCTTACATCACTTCGCATCAAAATCATAGATGAAATTGTAGACAGATATACTGAAGATAAAATTCTTACAGAAAATTATTATTTTTTTTGCCAAATGGTGCAGTCGAAACGGACTAAACACGTTAAGGTCAAAAAGGTTGGCATAGCAAACTTCATCTGAAAAATTTGAAAAAAAATGATGTGCGCATACACAAAATTATTCAAATGCATCTGTAAGGGGCGAAATTATTTGTACGAAACCATTTCCAAGCCCTTGTTGCGCCTGCCTAGTGGAATGAAGACAGTAGTAAAGCCGAGCTCAGCGAATTAGGATGACGAGCCTGCGTGGCATCACTCATGCGATGGCAATAACAGCCAACATGGTTTCGAGGCACTTCTAGACATTCGTCCTCTATATGCGGTATCCCAGCTTCTTTCCATGTGTGCCCTTAGAGTGTAGGCTGTGGGTCCATTTCCGTTTACACCAAACTTTGAACAAATTCGGCTGGCATTCTGAATGGATGGCTTCCACACGCTCAATGAGTTCAGCATTTGATATGTGTTTGCAGGAGGTTGGAGTATGCCCACGTCTTG